ATCTGTGTTCAGAAGATGACTTCAAGTTCTTTGTATCGTTTAAAATTTACGTTTTCATGATAAGACTTTTGTGAAAATTGTTAGGCTACCGAAAATGAGGAAATCAAATATTTTATCAAATTATAAAAGCATTTTGTAATGTATCTGGTTGATGTTTTACCATTCCACTTGGAAATTTGGCGTTGACACTTTTCTAGAAGAAGGTCTTTGAAACGGAGAGCGTCCTATTATTTACGTCAGGTATCTTAAATTGCACGCAGGCCAAATGCAAGATCTGAAGGTAGCTGATGAGCCGCAATAAAAATAAAAAAATAAATAAATTTATAAATAAAAATAATTAAAAAAATAAATAAAAATCTGAAAGCTTGAAGATTTACATTTACAAAGAAACATTTTTTTAATTGTTTGTGTTACCTTTAATTATTAAATATCATGTTCTTCGCAATTAAACCATGAAATTCAATTCAACAGTAATATCGCAAAATAATTTTAAAATGAGCATATCTTTAGAATTTCCGATACACAGTCTAGAGCGCTGGAGATATTTATATATATGCATTTTTTACCCCATACAGTTTTGCCATTGCTCGCTTTGAAATCGTTGAGTTTGTTAATCAAAAATTCTTTGTAGTGTTACAAGATATGGTATCGATAATAAAACAAATTCCAAATTAGGGCTCCCAGATGCCCGTATTTGGTAGAGGATTACTTTATTCAAAATTTGATGGCTCTAGGTACCGTTGTTTTATCACACTGCGGCAAACATACATACATTTATGCAGATTCTTCATTATTTAATATAACACGGCCATAATATTTGGTGGCACCAATTTGAAAAATGAAACGGACATTACAATTTTTCAACGCAAAATGCCAAAACGAAATTAACGCCTTCTGGGATATATATATATATTTTTCAAATAGCAAAATTTGTTAGCTAAATTTAAAAATTCTTTCCTATATATTCGTTAAAACATATATATGTATAAATAAAGCAAGGGGAAAAAATCAAATTAATTCAGTAGTTTTCCTACTTGAAATCTAAGTTGGTATCTGCAAGTAATTTCTGTTGGTCACAATTTGTAATTCAAACGCATTGGCAGCTAAATATTAAAAATTTCTGATTGATGTTTATTCAAATATTTGTAATGTATTGAAGTAATCATTAATATATTTAACATAAAGTATAAATATGCGAAAACTTCCCGACAGGGACACAAAACATGCGAACAAATAATGACAACTTATTTTCTTTCTTTTATTTATTATATGACAACTTATTCTCTCTCTCTCTTTTTTTTTTATTATAATTTTCTGTGACGCATACAAAAAAATAATATTTGTATGTAAATAATTATAAACTTCTTAGCTTCTTATTATATCTTTCAACTACAACATCTCATAGCATTTGGATTTTCATACAGTTAAGCAATATTAGAGGAAACTTAGTAAAAAATATCTTCATCATGAATTGTGGAGGCAATATGGTTCTTTTCGTAGATTTATTAATATTCAACAACCAAAAAAACTGTTCACTTGTGAATGTGTTTCCTAACAAAGAGGTTATTGCAAAAATTCGTAACTGTGATGGTATTTATCTTTTGACAATTTGTATTCTCAGATCTTTGAATAAGATTTATATTACAACGTAAATTAATTAGTTTCATTTCTAGATATTTCGGAGAGTTACGTTCATTTTTGATGAGGAAAATAATGTAAAATTTGCACTCCAAACACTAAAATCTAAAAATTTTTCTTCACATTCTTGTAATAATTATAATTTTTTTACGGAAAATATACTCGTGGGCCGCATTAAAATGCTTCGGGGTCGCATGCGACTTGCCAGCCGCTAGTTTGAAAACAGCGATTTACGGGATAATATGAAATTTTTTAAAATTTACATTTTTATTATTTTTATGGAAATAAAAATATTTTACCTTTTTTAACTTCATAATCTTTTGAAATAAAATTCAAAACATTTAATTCCCAATTTAGACAACGGAGTACATAACTTGTTCGACCTACAAATAAAAATGCAGATAGGTTGTTGTCACAGTTTGTTCAAGTATTTTGAGTTTTATTGTTACAATGGGCTATATTGAAAACACGATGTTACTCGAAATGAGTCCACCTTAGTTAGTTCTGGTAAACTGGGCTCTTCAATACATTAAATTCACTTAAATGTGACGCTGAAAGTGATGCTGTGTCAAGCAACTTGGCAAAAATTGTTTTTATGTCGATAATTTATTTAAGCGCAATGACTGCTACTTTCTATTTTGTCATAGTTTTCTGTTTGTTATCTGAGGTATCCATATTGCCTTAGGAATAATAGTGATTCTACCGTACTACCTATTATAAAAATGTCGAAGAAAATGAAGTCAGTTGGACGATTCAAATGCTAAGTATCGAATAAGGCTGTTGTTATTGTTTGGTATTGCATTGCATTTTACCTTACAAAACCAATTTAACCTATTTCCAGCGCATTTTCAATTAGAAATCGCCCCCTTCTTATTAGAAGCGGCATCGAGGTCACAGCGAAATACAGTCATAGCAGCCAGTCGACGACGAGAGCCATTTTCATCCTAGAATCAAAAATCTCGCTCACAGAAAACAACCACCTCAAAATTATTGATTGCTTGCAACTCGTACCGCAAAGTGTGTCTCTTTAAATTCTTAATGGCGGGTAATCGTGAATAACTACAATAACCAGCAGCTAGGGATAAAGAGCTTCGAAATTACTTAGAGAATGTCTGGAAGGAAGTGTCGTTGACTTTTATTTTTAGGTTCGTTGCCGATCGTAGTAAAACTTTTTTGTTGTTGATAAGGTTGGCGAGCGTTTTCTTTTCGTGTTTATTTTCCTCCGTTTGCGAAGATAGATAACTGTTGTTTCCTTCGCAAGGGTGATCCATACTGGCGTCCACTTTGTAAACGCATCTGAAGTGACCCCTTGCGGCGTTTGTCTGAGTTTTGGTAAGTACTTTTATATATATATCATTGCGGGATGCTTCTAAGATCTAGTATTATTTGTTTTGTCCTTGTCATGTGAAGTTTCTCTTTTGAAATGAGGTGCACTGGCAAAATAAATAGGTCAACAACAGTTAAACATGTTTGCTTTATTTCTTACTCATGTCATTATTGTTTATGACTGCCATATTTTTATATTATGAATGTGGCTGATTGGAATATATGAAATATTCGAACATATAACATTGGAATTTTTATTTCATATTTTATTGCATATTTTTATTTAATTTTTTGTTATTTTTTCCATTGTAATATGTTTGATTATTTTATTTTATATTAAAATATATTACACTGGGAATTATTATTTAATTAAAATCTTCAGTTATTCTATCTCTCTATAAATATTATCATAAAATTTTAAAAACTGATATTAACGGAGGGGGGTTCTTACAAGGTCATGATCTTAATATAATTAACACACGGATGTATTATAATTAATTGCAAATTATATAATAAGGACAAAGGTATATAATAAGTAAATGGAAGATTAAAATAAACAATGGATTTAATTATTTACTTGTTCAACTTGAATAATAATTACCGTATTTACTTCCATAATTTTCCTCCTTTTGCTATTAATTTCACCGCTTGAAAACAAAAATGCGCGGTGTATACTATTTGAATAATAATTTTGTGTAAGGAAAAAGAATAGAAACATACTATTCTTTTTGCTTACACAAAATACATTCTTATTTGCGCATATGTTTTGCGTTCTTTCCATAAATCAGCAATTTCTAAATCATAGGCTGAAAAAACTAAGGGGAAAAGTTTTCGAGGGGGAGAAATATGTGAGTACGTAAAGTGTATATTAACAACAATAATAATATTTTATCATGGATTCATATTTGAGTGTTAGGATAAGAAAAATATAATTAATAAAAAAAGAATAATATTATAGTTCAGATTATGAGTAACTTTTTGCGATTTATTAAATCTTCAAAAAATAATATTCTAGTCCTCTACGAATATTCCTTTTAGCTATTGAAAATGGACTATATTATCTAGCTATTGTAAAAATTTCAGGCTTTTCTTTATAACTTAATAATTTGATTAATTATAAACTGTGATTTTAAAAAATTATGTAAAGTGTTACATCCATTCAAAAGTATGAATTTTATCTTTTTCTACGAATTAATCCATTTTTACTATTTTTTAAATTAAATTAATTTTATAATATTATTTTTATACATTTTACTGAAAGTCTGACATATCTAATGTACTCAAATTGAAGAAAATATATGTAATAAAGACTTGACATTTCTGTTCATAATATTGTTGTGATATAATTTGTAAATATGGTTTAAATTAAATTAAACTAAAACAGGCCAAAAAAATGTAAGAAAATAAGCATTATATTATTAACTGTGCAAATTATAAATGGAGTTACATTTTTTAAACATTAAAATTTAAAAAAATTAAAAATAAAAATAAAGTCAAACTAATTCTATCGGTTTATTTTAATTTATATGAGGCAAATATGATTTTGATTCCATTTGCAGTTTAATTTTTTTTTAAATTTCAGTTTTTGAAATATTTAAGTGAACTCCATTTTTAATTTGGAATACTATTAATTTGCTCAATTAATAATATAGTGTTTATTTTCTTTTGCCTGTTTAGTTTTAATTTTAACTTAAACAATATTTAGAAATTATATATATATATTCTCGAGCTGCATGTTTTTTTAATAACCAGAGTATCTTACTATTTTTAGTATTTTTCATGTAATGTGAAATTTTATAATAAAGCATAATTATTTTACACAAGGCTGATAAAATTATATGCAGTGTTTTTAATACTGCAAATTATAATTAATACTGCAAGCCATAAAAACATACACTATATTTTCATGTAATAGAAGAGGTTTAAACATTTATTAAATGCAAATATGTTGTATTTTTGAATAATTTGTTATTTATATAAGCATTGTGTCTATGTATGTGTGCACGCTAAATTATGGTTAATTTATTCATCTTTAGGCTGCTGAAGATGCTATGAAAGCTGGCAGAAAAAGTAAAGAATTGTTAAGTGCTAGTGGTGTTGAAAGCCTTCGGAACACTGCGGGTGATAGTGGGAAAATTAACGGTGGACCTCAAAACTATCATAGCCAAGGAGAAACCCAGTCCCCGTCAAATCCTGCTACAATGCACCTAGGAAATCAAGGAGTAAGTTGCATTTTATGATGCTAGAAATAATTTTAGTGTTTTTTTTTTATTATGAGTTAATTCTATGAAATTAAACAAAAATAAATAAAACCTGTAGTTTGATCTTCAGATCTGTCTTTAGTTGACGATAATACATGGCTGTTTATTTTTTAATCTCGCCAAAGAAGTCGCCAAGGTGAAATGTAAACAAAAAGACAATGACGAAATATTTCACTAAGAAACCTTTATATAGAAATAAGAGTTACGCTGTACAAGCGAAACTCACGACAGTAATTATTTTGAAATTTAATAGCAAAAGCGGAGTGTACTTTTTTCCACCAGCATTATCTGAATTACTTTGAAAAAGATATTCATGTACATAAATCGCAGTAATAGAAAATAAAGTACTGTAAAGCAGTGTTTCTGAGACTTTTCGCATTCATGCCTTATCTGTTCATATTTGCGATTTATCTGCGTATCAGAGGCGGGGAAGATGGATTTGTATTGGGGAAGGTGGATTGGTTAGTTCTGTATAATTTAAAATTAAAATAATAATAATAAAAATTGACAATTAATGGCGCATATTTAAAATATGCGTAAAGACAATGCTTTTAAGTTGTATACCATTAATTTATCTTTCGATTAATTATTCTTTTTTTATGTGTTTATGTTTTGTGCTGCATGAATTATACAGTTAATATTTGTTATTTCATCTTTTTTTTTAATCGTTGCAAATCGTCGATATTCAAGTGTAAGGTGGCGCCATAGCCACAAGCACCTTAAGAAATTTCCGCATTCTCAATAGTCCCATCCGTCTTGCTGTATTAAGATTTATTACAGCCTCGCGTACAAATAGTTGTTGCTCTAGTGTTTTTTTTAAAAAACAGTTTTTTTAGAAAATATTGTAATAATGGAGTAATGATAAATTAACTTGAGTTACTATTTGTAATTAATTGGCAATTATAAACTTATTTATAATTACAGGTCGATCTTTTTAAGTACAAAACAATTGGAAAAAAGAGCTTCAACATTTCGCCAACAACAAAAATTGTCATCCGAATTTAGGCGGTTGCTATAGATTATTACAGTCAAAAGTCGTTAATCCGGACTCGTCGGGACTTTGGCGATTCCGGATTATCGATTTTTCCGGATTATAGATCATCAGTTTAAATCTCGTAAGATGGCATGCAGAAATTCTAAAATTAAAAATATGAAACCGTAATTTATGAAATAAAGAACAATTATGATCTAAAGGGTATCAAAATTTACAAAAAAAAAAAAAAAAAAAAAAAGCTTAATATTTATTTGTTTACTTTATTAAACATTTCTTTCAATGTAAGTTGCTTCGTTTTATGTGATAATACTTTCTCTTTAATTCTATAAACAGACATAATTTCTTGTTCAGTTACAAAGTTCCGCTGTTCAAGTCCCGTTAATTGCTGTGCCGAGAATACCGACTAACTTGTCAATCGAAATTTTTCGTTTTCACTAACCTCTCTGTCACATTCTTCATGTCTTTATCCATTTTTTGCAGCAATTCCACTTTTTGTTTGATGGACATCGAAACATACTTTCGTTTTGTAGATCCTTTGGGAGCTCCAGCATCGGAAATTCTATTTGACATAATCGAAAGTTCAAGTTTACTTTATAAAATTGCTCTTACAGTCTGCAAAAAATAATAAGCCGGATCCAATTCGAAAATTAAGGAACAACGCAATCATCAACATTAACTGAAATAGATAATTAGATAATTTTAGCTTATACCGTCCGTTATACATAAAACGCGCACGCGAAAACGTATTCTGCGCTTGCGCACACGCATATGCGCAGCCGTAAAAGGTCTTATGCGCACACGTAAACGCCTATGCGCATGTGTCAACGCGGCGCATGCGCAGAAAGTTTTTAGCTTTGAGGTCCGGACTATAGATCATTCCGAATTATGGGTGTCCGAATTAACGACTTTTGACTGTATAAAGGGAATTTATTATTTTATTTAAATAGTAAACTTTATTATTAATCCAAAGGAGCTTTGTCCCTCAGGGACTGTTGTTTTTGTTTTGCGATTTTGTGTGGAGTCACGCTGAATGTTCGTTTCACTTTTCAAATTGTTGCCACCAAACATTATCGCCCTGTAATATATTTGAAGAAATTAAATAATGAAGAATCTGTATAAATGTATATATTGTTACAGATTTGGCATTTAAATAGCTAATGTTGGTAGAACTATAAATTAAATTGTTTTATTTCCCCCTGCAGTGCAGTGCGTAACGAATATTAGGAAAAAGCTAAGCCGGGAAATTAAAAATGAAAGATCACGTGCATTTATCATTTGATAAATAAATAACTCTTTTTGATTTCATAAAAATACCAGATTCTCGCGCAATTAAAAAGCTTATACAGTACAAAGTCCGAAATCTGGATTCTTCCGAACTTTGGCAATTTCGGATTTGGGATTTTTCCGGGCATTAGATCAGCAGTTTAAATCTGGTAAGATGGCATGCAGAAATTATACAATGAAAAATATGAAATCATAATTTATGAAATAAAGAACAATTATGATCTAAAGGGTATCAAAAATTGCAAAAAAAAAAAAAAAAAAAAAAAAAAAAAAAAAAAAAAAAAAAAAAAAGCTGAATATTTATTTGTTTACTTTATTAAACATTTCTTTCTATATAAGTTGTTTAAGTTGCTTCGTTTTTTGTGCTAATACTTTCTCTTTAATTCTATAAACAGACATAATTTCTTGTTCAGTTACAAAGTTCCACTGTTCAAGTCCTGTAATTGCTGTGATAACCTTTCTGTCACTTTCTTGACTATCGGAAGCGCGCATTAAACGTGCATGCATAAAGCATGCAAAAAAAAAAGTTTGTAGCTTTGAGATCCGGATTATAGATCATTCCGGATAATGGATGTCCGAATTACGGACTTTATAATGTAATGACTCTTTTAAAAAAATGGCGTGGTTGACTGTAAAATATTATTTACAACTCTTTTGAAAATCTAAATGAACCATTATACTTCAGCTCAGTCCCCCCCAGCGAGATCAATAATGTATTAATATATTTGGACTTTTTGAATGGAGAAATATTATTTATTACTTTATTAAACATTTCTTTCAATATAAGTTGTTTAAGTTGCTTCCACAAAAAATTAAAAGAGTTCTTTTTTATAAAATAATAAGCTGGATCAAATTAGAAGTTTAGGGAGCAGAGCAGTCTGCTACATTAACTGAAATGACTTAGAATCAGTAACGATAATTTTAGTCTAGCTTAATAGCGTCCGTTATACATTATTGGCTGTGTATCACAAGATTGGCAACGAAAGCCAAGTGGTTTCTCTAAATTTTGTCTTGCTCCTATTGTGTACTGAATTAAGCCTGAATTTCTCTACGGGTCCTAAATTCTGCTACATGAACACCTTCCCTAAGTTCTACATTTTTGTTGCCCCTAAATTTTATCCCAGGTGCTTTACCCTAAACTCTAAAAATTTTGTCATCACTTAATTTTGTTTCTTGGTGCTTCTCTAGAATTCCAAAAGTTTCGTCTTCCCTAAATTCTGCCTTCCGGTGCGGACATATTCTGCCGCCGCTTCTGGGTTTACGGTGAATAACATATCAGTTAGTCTTAGTTAAAATAGCACTAAATGTAATCTTTTGGTTTAAGAGTTTCATTAACAAAATCTATTTTTAACATATGAAAAGAAATTTTTGTTGAATTTTTCTTCATCAACATTATAGCATTTAAAAATCTATAATCATCGCCAAACGTAATGTTAGCATAAAAGGTTGCCATACGCTTCTTATTCAATTACTAATATAAAAAAGTTTAGACATCACTGCATAAGTTATTACTGAAGCTGTCATGTATTGATAAACATGCAGTGATGAAAGCAAAATATAATAAATAATGACTTTCCAGGTCGGCGTCAGGGATATAAAATAGTTGAATGTTTCGGTTTGAGATGTATGCCAAGTAGATACTCAGCTAGGAGCCAAATTATTAATCTAACAAATTTATGCTTACATGATTATTTTTCCATAACGAGGTATTTTATGTAGTGCCTAAGTGAAATTAAGGATCGGAATTTTTAAGTGAAAATCAAATGCGCATGCGTAAAACATACAAAAAAAAAAAAAAAAAAAGTTTGTGGCTTTGAGGTCCGGATTTTAGATCATTCCGGTTAATGGATGTCCGGATTTCTGACTTGTACTGTATAAGCGGCATGAAAACCTCTCAATTCGTTCGTTAGTTAGTTGTTTTAAGAGTTTGTTAGAAAACTGCTCTTGTTGACTGTAGCAAATTCGCGGATTAGCTTTCTCTAGCTGTTTTGAATTAACTTCTGTTGAACGTTTGAGTAGTTAAAAGATAACTACTGTGAGATATTGTAACACTGTATGAATATCTGAGGAAATTGAAGCATTTTGTTTTATTTATTGTGATAATTATAAATTTTGTTCATTTTTCATCGGACTTGTGCATTCAATTCATAACGAACCCTTACGCACGCAACAATTTTTGGTGGCAGCGGTGGTATTTGAATGCCAATAACAAGACCGGTGGAAGAACAATTAAGGCATTTGATATCAGCCTTTGACTCGTTTAAAGAAGAGATGCAATTTGTCAGGAAACGATGGAACCTGGCCAAGATTCCGTTAAGGAAGAAATAAAAGCCGTTCAAGCTGGTCAAGAAAAGATTGAAGCAGGTCAAGAAGAAATGAAAAGAGCAATTACTTGCATAAATAGAAAACAAATTTGAGGCTATGGAAGGCAGAATAGACGCGGTTGAAAATAAAGTGGGACAGATTGAGGAAAACGTTTCTTCTGTCAAAAGAAGAAATAGAAGGAAGAGTTTGTTCCACTCAACAACAAATTGAGCAAAAAGTAAATGACCGGGTTTCTGCGGTTGCCAAAGAAGTTGATACTTTAAAGAAATTCGTAGCGACGGCGGCAGGGAGCAATTCGGATGGTTTTAAATTTTTACCGATGTCTGCCCGTCCGTCTCTGAAGCTATCCACGTACGAT